AACACGTGGCCAGGGACAATTCAGGCTTGAGCCTGGCTAGAAGAAAAGATGCCACATGTTTCTTGAGATGGACAATGTCAATGATGTCTGATAGCACCATCCTGGCATGCCACCAGAGAGCAAGTGGAAGTAAAACCATGGAGAGAAGAGTCTCAACGATCATCTTGAACGTATATCAGAGTACAGGAATAGAGAAAGAAGATGGTTCCAGACTATCCTTAGAGAACCATCGAAAGCTGGACGAGGTACGGAGGTTCTCTAATAAGAAGTTCGAGGAAGAACATGATGTTCACCGTAACCTGGCCTCGTCAGAACAGTACTCGAGACTCAGTGAGAAGGGGGAATACCAATATGTGTCTGGAGTGATGGGAATAGCCTACAATCCCTTCTTAGACTCGGAAGCTGGAGGAGCCCACAGAAACCATGAGGTAGCGGAGCTACTGAAGTTTTGGACAGAAAGAATAATGGAAGTAGACGCGGTGGAAAAAGAGGGGCCGAGCCTGGGCCTGATTCTTGAGAAAACACCAGAGGTGATAAGCATACCGCGCTCAAACAAGAGAGTTGAAGTGAACATGGGCGGTGGAAATGGCTTGTTAACCATGAACTTGGGAGTGATATGGAAGCTACTAAGACCCTCCTGGTGTCCACATCCCCATGCGAGTCTAATCGAGGAAACCACCGAGCGAGTGAGGTTAGCACCAACGGAAGATGAAGATCTGGCGAAGTTGAGTGTGCTACATAAGCTAATCACGCCCCAGATGCAGGAGCCAAGCGAAAGGACGAGCGACCCCGGGTCAGCAAAGAAATTGGAGCCGGGTAGCTGTCTGGATTCGACGTGTGGGAACGGAGAGCACATCTGCGATGGACGGTCATGCGTCAGAATACTGTCGTTTCAAAAAGAAGACCTGGTCACTTGGTTCGAAGACATCACAGAAAGGGAGAAAAGTGAGGTGCAAATAATAGCGGAATGTTACGCGAGAACCACGGTGAATATAGCGACAGCTCTCGGATTCTTCTCGAGAATGTGTGGTCTGCAGGCACTGGAGAGACTGGAATCTGAACATCATTTAGTGACGGCGTTGAGCGTAGAATCATGGCCCGGGGTGTTGCAGGTGACTCAAAAACACATCCGGAGCTGGAAAGTTGGTCTTGAGGCGGAAATGGGATTTCCCATGAGCGAAGCTTATGGCTTGCCATTGAACGCGAAATCGCTGATAGGGTCAATGATGGCCAACTTGTGCGGAAGTCACTACCCGCTACACATGGCGATGGTGGAGGTGTCCAGCCAGAGAATACTGGTGGACAAGGCCTTCTCAGTGCCCAAGTGCGTGAGGTTGGCTCGGATGTCGCATCACTCGCACAAGTTGTTGAGAAAAATCAAAGGGACAGTACCAAAAGAATTGAGAGATGACTTAAGCGAAATCTGGGGAGAAGATCTTCTGAAGTTGGAAAGAGAAAACACAAGCGATCACGAGAGACAAAACGTGATCGGAAAACCTGTGGGAAGTACTCCGAACCTGGAAGATAACGACACGATGCACGAGAAAATGATGGAGCTTGAGCCTCTCTTGGAAGCCTCAGGGGAGCGTAATCTCAGGAGCATTGAGATATCTCATGGGGAATGCCCATGCCACTGTTTGGCACAAACGGTGTGGTATCCAGATCACAAGAACCTTTGCCTGGTGTGGGATGTGGAAGAGATTCGGTCGATCGGACTACCGGATCACCGGCAGAAGGTGACGCTCTTAGTAGTGAGTACGATGTTAGCTCTGAGATGGATAGAAGAGAATATAACGAAATATCGGGAGGCGACGACGCCAACGGCTGAGTCAATATACGCGATAGACTACAGCAGGAGACTCGAGTTGTTTGAGACTGCGTGCAAAGTATTCGCCATACCGACGGAAGTCAGGCACGTATGGAGTCGCTTGAGGTACTTTCCATGGTTTCGGGCGACACTGACGTCTTGGTTGTACATGACAACGAAAGATCACATGAGAAAACATCAAAAATAGTATCGACAGTTCCAGGCCGAGATTGGGCCGGAAGCTTTCAAGAGACCCCTGCTAACCCATCGTAATGCGATCACGACAGGATGGAAAAGAGTGGGTAAGATGTCTAGAGACAATACCAAAGCGAGGGAGTCGATACTAGAGGAAGACCTGGCGAAGAACGTGAGCTTGAGCCTGCACAACTCCTTTTGCTTGAACCGAGAAGCTAGGGTGAAGGCACTACCCAACCAAGCAAAGAGGTTGCAGGAGCAGAGAGAATGGATGCGATCCTATGAACAGCTGAAGGCTTGGGAGGAGATTGTGATTAGTTCCGATGATGAAGAGGAACTGTTGAGACAGTTTGCTGCATCTAGCACTTCAGGATGCAGTACCTCCAAGGCGAAGAGTATGAGATGAATGGGCAAATCGGATGGATCTTGAGTCTTGAGAGGGAAGGGGGGCTTGAGCGTGGATCCAAGTGAAACTTGGATTCACGAAAAAGAAATTTTAACAAAGCAAATATTGTTACTAATATACTAAATTTATTATATAAATCGAAATGCTGCATGACAATTTCCTGATTGAATAGGACAAAAGAGATTTTAAAATGATTGGCTTGAAAAGCGAAAATTCGAGGGTGCAGGTGTATGCAGATTTTGGTTGCTGTTTAGCAATAGTGTGGAAATTTTAAATGGCTGTGAATTTTGGGGTGTAGATAAGCTTAAATCTGCTGCAAACTTCTGTAAATGACCACTGGCACTGTATCTTGAGCAACACTCGGTTTTTCTGGGACTCACTGGCAGAAGACAGCGCGCGATGAGGACATCGATCTCGAGTCCGGGGAGTATGTGCCAGTCGGTCATATTTGGAAGTTTGACCTTGAGAGGAGCAAAAAACACTTGATTTTGGAGTGAAATTTAATTTTTCAAAATTTCGAATGGAACCTGTCATGCACGATTTTCTCACGAGAACTGAAAATCAGAAAAAGAGATCAGAACAATTTCAGAACAATTGAGTCGCATACGCGGGAAAGTCGCAAGAAAAAGCAGTAGGAAATTGCTATTCGCAATTTCCATCACTATAATAATCGAGAGTAGAGCTGTCCCATCTGTGACAGAGACGAGAGCATTCCCTCGAATTGGATTATAACGACTGGAGTATTATTCGGAACTGGACTAGAGTGAACCTTCGGTGGAAAGGTGGACAGCTTGAGTGTCCTAATGGTTCACAAGAAAACTATTGTCTAGAGTATAAACTCGTTCTCATTGTCAAAACTATAAAACATTAGACTCATTTAGTTACGTTATTTAATTCTTGAGTTAATTACCGACTGGATTATTTCCCACTTCTTGAGCGGGCTACTATGTGAGTACAAATTTAAATTCCTAGAGTGTGTTTTATAATTGTTATGTTGAGGTAAGGCGAGTTTTAGGTTGATCCATCTGAAATGGATCAAAGTTCCACTGTCTAATAAAAATAAACTTAACGGATTGTTCCAACCCGGTTTTTAACGGCGTTCATGTATTTTGGGTATCTAGAGACCTAAGTATGGGGACGTTTCTAATTCTAGAGTGGGGGGATATTTTAGTAGTAGCCTTTAAGCTGTAACGGGTCGTAGTCTCATGTCACAAGCGAACCGAACTGGCTCCGACCGTTCTTGAGGCAGAAAAACACAAGAGATGGTGTCCCTGACCCTTGAGCCAGTGGTTATAGGGCCTATTTTTCTTAAGCCTCATGTGTGACTGCAGTAGACGAATGTTACACTTGCTGACCACCTTCTTCTGAAGACAAAGCGGAATCACCGATGAAAAGATGTGATGCGGAGTCATGAGCTGCGTGCGCATAAGGATAAAGACCTGGATAACGCTCGTGGATCAGAGATAAAAACTTGTTCCGCGAGATGGAATTGAACGCGTTCTTGAAATCTATTTTGAGAATGACCTTGCCGCTACTTTCAATATTGTCATGTATGTACATTCGCGTGACATGGACTGCAGTCTCTGCTCCTCGAGGCGTGCCATAGCCTAGTTGACGGGCGCCGTATGACTCTTTTGTAGCAGTTGAGTAGGCGCGTCCACCACATTTGGAGGCCAATCTGCGGAAGACGTTTCCCACAGCAATGGGACGAACTCCTCCAGTCTTCTTGCTCAGGGCGAACAGATTAGCTTCAAACACAAACGGGCGAATGAGAACCGGGACTTTTCCTGCCAGAACGATGTTGATAAAAGACGTGAGACTACTCAAGTAGGGCTGTGAGGCTTCTCCACGTTGACTGATCAGGTCTTTAAGAATCTGCGGAGTCACTCGATCAGGCCCAGCAGCAGAACCAGAAGGAAAAGACTGAATGGCTTCGGAGACACTGGAGACGCGGCAAACAACCGGAGACTCTGAAGAAGGGACTGGAATGGAGGAGACAGCATTGGAACGCGGGGGATGTTTTTTCCTCAGCTCTTCCACAACAGCAGGGTCACTAGGATCCACCATTTCCTCATCTGAGGAGGCAACACGAATGGCGACTTTGATGTCGGAGGCTTCTATCTTGGCAGAGACGCGCTTGCTCAGCTCTTCAGACGGAGACTGCGTGGAAGGCTTAGGTTTCCTCGCTTTCTTTTGGTCGCGAGTGGCTGGGGCTTCTTCACCAGACTGGAAAGCACGAATCCGCTCATTGACCTTGGAAATTAGTGACTGACTGTTATTATTATCCTTCTTGGTTACTGATAGGCCTCTACCAATAAGAGTAAATAAACTGCACCAATGGGACAAAAGATCCGGCTGTGAACAGTATGAAGGTGTTCCTACCAGATATTGGTTATCCAACCACTGTTCACGGTTGATTTTCATCGCTTAATCATATTCTTCCCACCCATGTCGACGTACTGCGAAAAACCCGGTGAACAGTTCCTTCGATCACACTTCTCTTGTACTGACTTATTGAGAAATAACTTAGCTTGCTGCACTTTAAGGTGTGTAGTTGTCTGCTTACTGTCGTAATATTTCTGAAGTTTATTTTTCAGATAGAAAACGTATGAAGCCAGCAATATGTCTGCCAAATTCGAAAGGCTAGAAAAAATTGGCGAGGGTACATATGGCACTGTTTATAAAGCCCGTAATCGAGACACGCAGGCGATTGTTGCTCTGAAACGTGTCAGACTAGATGAAGACGATGAAGGTGTTCCTAGCAGTGCATTACGGGAAATATGTCTCCTGAAAGTAAAAAGTTTATGACCTAACGCTTGTAAAATAATACGGTGTACACTCTTTGTTAACAAGCTTGGTACATTTTATTGTGCAGTTTTGTGCACAATTGAGTTGTAAGGACTCAATTAGAGCGGATTCATGATTATTCGAAGTGTGCGAAATTTTTTTTTCAATGATTTTTCAAGGTTAATTTCCAAGATTTTAATTGCTTTATTGCTCCCTTTTGCTGTTTGTTGCTGTTGATTGATAAATACAGCTTCGCCACTGTATACAGAAATAAAGTAATTGTTTTTAGGAACTTCGACATGTTAACATAGTCAGGCTTCACGACGTTCTCCATAGTGATAAAAAGTTGACTCTAGTTTTTGAGTTCTGCGAACAGGACCTGAAGAAGTATTTCGACAGCCTGAACGGAGAAGCAATGGATCAAAATACAGTAAAATCGTTCTTCAAGCAGTTGTTACGAGGCAAGTAAATTGAAAAGACATAATCTTGGAGTTTTCATTCTTTACTAAAAATAAGTGTTTTTTTTTCTTATTCACGCGCATAGTTTGATGTTGCATCAAAATTTTCGTTTCATCTCATGCGAATTTTTTCAGGTTTGGCCTTCTGTCATGAACATAACGTTCTCCACAGGGACCTAAAACCCCAAAATTTGTTGATCAATAAAGCAGGAGAGCTGAAACTAGCAGATTTTGGCCTGGCTCGTGCTTTTGGAATCCCAGTAAGGTGCTATAGCTCTGAAGTGGTAACACTGTGGTACAGACCTCCAGATGTTTTGTTTGGAGCCAAAATTTACAACACTTCAATAGATGTATGGTCGGCTGGCTGCATATTCGCTGAAATGGCAAATTCAGGAAGGCCACTTTTTCCAGGGAACGACGTTGATGACCAATTACGAAGAATCTTCAAATTACTAGGATCACCGACTGACGAAAATTGGCCCGGTGTTGCCAAGTTTCCAGAGTTTAAACCATTTGGACCTTTCAACCCGTGCAATGATATTAGTTCTGCAGTGCCTAAGTTGAACTCTAAAGGGGTAGATCTCTTAGTCCAGCTTCTGGTCTGTAATCCAAGCTTAAGACTGTCTTCATCAGATGCTCTAAGTCATTCCTATTTCGATTGATATTTTCATCAATTGTTTGCTGCTGCCTGTTAATTTGAGAAATTTATTATCGTGTTGAAATAAAATAAGATCTATAATTATCGCACTGCCAGTGTTTGTATTTATAATAAGCTGTTTAGAATTTTATTTCGTGCATCATTACTCCTTCTAAATTTGTTTTAGTTGTAATTTCGTAATATGTATTTCATCGATGTTTTCAAGAATTATTGATCATTTGCAGTATTCGGATCTTTTTTTCTACGGCTTATGCTTTTTGAATAATTTTTCAGATTGGTTTGTGTGTGTTTGTGAAAATGACAGCTCCTTCCCTCAACAATATGTATAGGGTGGGAGATTACGTGTACTTCGAAGTGCATGCGGGATACCCGTACCAGATCAGGAAAATAGAGGAGTTGAATAGAGCAAGTAGTGGATCACAGGTGAGTTATAAAGCGGGATTAGGTTTACACGTTATAATATACACTTTTTGCCATTACTGATTGGGTGTTAATCCGAGTTGAGGTTTAATTTTTGTAATACAAAAATTCGAGCAAGTTCGTTAGCTAAAATATCAAAATATATTCGAAATATGACCAAACTGTTTGAAATATACTAAATAAGACACTACCCCTCAACTTCCCAAATTCACATACGATGCTGATCTGTGCCGATAGCTACAAATAGGAAGCCCACTGTTGAATTAATTCGATTGCGATTAGCTAGCGTTATCAAACTGGAATATTGACTTTTTCTAGTTAACAACTAGTTTAACAAAATCACTGAATCATTTCTGCAGCAACCAAATATGCTGGAAAATTTCTTGAAAGTTCAGTTTTAACTACTGAGGTAGGGAAAAAACTAGTAGATGGCTAACGGACTGCGCTCAAATCCGGTCAGCACCTGTTTTCTTTAAACCTAAAATATTTAAGATCAAAAAATGATCGGCCTATGGGTTGTCTGCTTTGTAACTGAAAGTACTTTGTGATTCTTTAAAATCCCAATTTGCGCAGTTTAAATCAATTATATAATTACCGAATACACAACAAACACCGAATACAAAACAAACACAAATGTGGGATGAACCATTGAGGATTGAAAAGAGAGGGGGAATGCACTAACAGCAAAGGAACAAAGGAGCACCAGAATTGGGAAGGCAAAAACGTAATAAACTGCACAAGACTAGATGGCCCGACTGACAATCATAGTGGCGTTTCCTCTCATGAGGCACACTGAGAGGCTCTGGAGAAGGCGAACTGGGGCAACACGAGCGTCACGTGAACCAGAACGTCTGGCATCAGCGAGGATAGCAACTGACTTGAGGGTTTTGATAGCTAAAGCGGACCAACCCCCGAGCGTTTCGACTGCTAACGGGAAAAAACGGATTCCTTGTTCCTCACAGTTTTTCTCGTGTTTCGAAAATTTGCGGTCCTCAGCAACTTCCAGGGACGCCCCGGGGGTCTCCGCCGCACGAGAGAGAAGAGATAACTGCAGCGGGGATGTCACGGTGACGTCGAAAGCAGCTGGGCGACCAGCGCTCCAAGTAGGACAAAAATATCGCCGGGTTTGGACCGTTCTCCGGGGATGAGGTTCCGTTGCTCCTTGATAAGGGCTAAAGAGGCAGCCGTGGTAGCATTGAAAATAATGTCCCGTAGTCTGTCGTGACGGGAGATCCGGCCACCACTCCCCCCACAAGCGACAGCGTGGTCCCCGAGGACGTCCAGAATGCCAGACGGACACGCGGGACACCTACGAGCAGACGCGAACACAGGAAGACCAAGGCGGTATCTGACAGCAGCTTGGAACTCAGCAGGAAGCAGGTGCAGGCCAAGACCTTTAATGGGGACTGCGGTAAGCCAAGCGCCGGCGTAAGGCAGAGAGAGCGACTGAAGACGAGCTTGCTCGCGGGAATCGGGAAGAGACGAGAAGAAAGCGTTGTAGGAGGCCTTATCGAGTTTCTCTTGGAAAGCTTCTTGAGTAAAACCGGGAGTGTTAACGCTTCCAGACTGTTCACGGAAGTCGTTAGAGGCACGCAGGAACTCCGGCGTATCAGTGATGTCGCATTCGGTAAGAAACGAGACCAAATGAGCTGACTGACACGAAGACCCTAGGAAGGCAGGGATGTGTTGGTCGCGAGCTTGCCGGACGCCAAGTCCGCCATCCTTGATAGGCAGGGAAGACTGGGACCAGGCAAGATCAGGAACAGGTGAGCCAACTATGACAGAAAAAGCATCGAGGAGGAGTTCATCAAAAACTTGCAGGGAAGCTGCGACAGGCTGAGAGGGCGGCTGAGTGCGAAGAGAGTACGTCAGCTTGGGAGCAGCAAGGCAAGTGCGAGTGATGCCAAGTGAGAGCTGGGGGTCATCAAGAAGAGGTAATTTTTCAAGACATTTGGTGGCTTTCGAGATGCGTTTGTCCAGGACTTTAACTGAGAACTCAGTATCACCAATGGGGGCGCCAAGAAGCTCGAAGCCATTAGACGCTGCTCTCGGGATAGAAACGGGGATGGACGAGAACTCCACAGGGGCCCACAACTCACACTTACTGTGCTTGACTTTGAGGCCGAGATGCAAGCCGTTGGAAATGATGAATTCGAGAGCCTTGAGCAAGGAGTCTTCGTCGCCGGCACAAATACCATCATCAAGGTACCAGCAGTTGAGGGTGAGACCGGGGACTTCCGACTTGAGAGATTCGACAAGAGAGTGCAGGGTGACCGCAAAAATGAGAGGCCCTAGCGGGTCCCCCTGTTGAACTCCTTTCTCGCTGTTGAGAATGACATCCTCGAACAGCAGACGACTGTGGTGACCGTAGGTAAACTCAACAAAGGCGGAGAGACCGGGAAGACGGTTGCGAACTTGAAGGAGGATCTCGGTGCGGTCTAGCGTGTTGAAAGCGTTCTCAAAATCCACTGTTAAGACGCCTTGGTGACCATGTTCCGAGCACTTTTTGACTGTCATTTTAGTAGCGTGGACGATGGCTTCCGAGCCACCGCTGGTAGCGACTCCAAGCTGGCGAGGACACAGGAAATCACGAGCTTCAGCGTTGGCGGCTTCGGCAAGGCATTTAGCAGTGAGCCTTCGGAGCACTTCGCCGACCGCAATAGGCCGGACACCACCCTTGGGTTTAGCGGTGGCAAAGAGATTCGCACTGCACAGCAACGGAGAGAGACCAGAAGGGGCTTGCCCGGCAGCGAGGATGTTAACAACCCTGTTGAGAGACTCTAACGTTCTGGCAGCAGTCTGAGGAGTGGGGCACTCAACGGCGTGAACAAAGTGCTCAGGAAACCAGCGCGAAGGACCGGCAGCAGTGCCGCTCGGGAAACTTTTGAGAGACTTATGAACGAACTCAGATTCGAATTGGTAGGCAAGAGGGGATTCATCCCGGCCAGAAAAGACAGGAGGGTCAGCGGAAGGATGAAGACTGCGAAGGTCCTTAAGCGACTCGTCACTTTTGGACACGAGGCCATCAGAACACTGGGCTTTAGCTGCTCTGCCGAACTGACCGAGGCCTGCTAGCTCTTTGGCTCTGCGGACATTAAAGTCAGGAGAAGGTTTGCTGTTTTTCTTCGTTCGCTCTTTAGGTCTTTTGGTAGCGTTAGACCAGAGGTCCGAAATATTGCCCTCCTTCCAGGACTTGATTCTTTGGCGAATGTCTCTGCAGTTATTAGCGGCGTGAGACTTGCCTCCGCGGCGAGGGGCTTTCAAGATACATTTGGGGAGCATGAGCAACCGAGTCCAGTTTTTCAGATTGTCCGGAGCGGTGGCGCAGTTGTCAAGGGCGTGACCAACAAACTCAGACCACTCGTTACGAAGAGAAATCGGAACGAACCGGACAGTGTCAACTCTGGAAGACATGACGTCAGAAAGATCCGGCACAGCGCTTTCGGCGAGCTCAGCCGAGATTGTCATACTTAACATCGCTTGAGAGAGGCCAGAGCTAACAGGAGCATCCCGAGAAGGAGAACTCGTTAAAGCGACAGAGATAGGACTGGAGACAGGAGACGCGAGAAAGCAAATAGGACCGCGAGAATTCCGGCCTATCGGAACATAACCATCAGGGAGCCGGAAAATTTGATCAAGGTTGACCCAGGAGTCAGAGCTTTTATTCCAACCACGAAAGTGAGCAAAGAAGCGATCGTTGTCAACTTTGAGGATAGAAGCATCATAGATACCGGAGGTTAGGTCCGAGATGGCAACAGACGACCCGACTAAGATCTCCGCGGCGTTAACAAATGTGGACAACTGAGTAGGGTCGACAGACGGACCAGGATTACTTTCAATATCAATAGCGCATAAAAGAAGGAGCATAGAAATGTTATAAAACGACAACTTTGAGTTGAGTTTAAACTTGCGTGACCGCAGTTCTTGTCGTGATTGTGGATCAGGTTTCTCGCGTGCCAGCAGCAGCATGTGTGTAGATCCAACTGGGCTGTGACCGTTCTGCACACGGTTGAAAGCTAAAACCAGAAACACTGTCGAGAAGAAAGAGGCAAACAATTGCATGCCTAACGTAGGATGGGTCTCACCCAGACTTAGAGATAACGAAGGCAGAAGGGGAGAGCCAGAGTCAACGGGCTACGGGTTCCACACCAGGAGACCAGAAATCCAGTGCGGGGTCCAGACCAGATCGTGGATGGCACGCTACCTGAAGACTAGTGGTCCACTTCGGGCAGGTCAGGAAGTGTGCAACGTCCAGCCAGGTGATCACCAGCACATACCCATCTCAAACTATTTAATAAGTTTATCACAACAATTAGGCTAACAATTTATTCTTTAATGGAATTTGTTATTTTTAAGAGTAATGAACGTAGTCTGAAAAGTCTCTAATAACTACAGATGTGCATTCATACATATTGATGCGTTTATGAATGCACCTAGAAATATTTGCACTTTTTGAATTCAATTGAAATTAATCTGCTGCAAGTGACATAAATAGAACTCTCCAAATTTGAACGTGGAAATGGCGCAAAAAAACGTAAACGCTTTCTAGTTTCGAAAGTGGAATTTAATTTTTTGATTTCCAGCGGAATAAAAACTCTACCTATTGATCCAGTTTTCTCTAGTCGGGTTCATGGTATAAAAAAGCGCCAATAATAAATTGTTCGAGAAATTCAAAGAGCATAAAGGGCATCTATTTTTTTCTTTGGTATTCGAAAGTTGAAATTTTTTCAATTAAATGAGTGTTTACTTGGGTTCATTACTCTTTTCCAATCTTCGATTGGCTATGTTTATACTTGCGGGAACCAGACTGTTACACATTTTTGTAATTGAAATTGATGTTGTAACCAGTTCTCATCATAGTCTCAAGTTTCGTTGATTAACTCTTGTAGTTTTTCTAAATTACTATTTCTGACGGTCCCGGTTTTTTGGTTTGTTTTTCGCTTAGAATTTTTCCTTGGCCTAAATGATATCTGCTCTTGTTTTTTTGCTTCTAAATGATTTCGGCTCTTGTGTTTAGTGAACTTCTTTTGCATCAGTATAAGGATAAAATGTGATTATTTAAGTTTTTAAGAAATCAGCTTGGCTAGTAGTAGAAAGGTTAAAATATCAAAATTTTAGGCGCTCAAAATTATTTTATAAGAACAATTTCCTGTTACATTTTTTGTTTTCGGATTAATTGGCGTCTAATTACGAGTTATCGGCTTAGTGAACGCTTTAAAATTACTAAAAGCTTGTTTTATGCTTGTGGCTGTGTTTCCCGTCTGTTTTTCAGAGATTGATTGTCTCGTATTTTCAAAAAATATGTTGATTTTTTTATGACAATCATTTCCTTTGGTATTTTTGTTTTCGGGTCAATTGGCGTCTAATTAAGTGTTGTGGCTTTGTGGACGCTCGGAAAATACTAAAAGTGCTTAATACTAGTGGTTGTACTTGTCTGTTTTTCTGTGATTGAATTTTTCGTATTTCCAAAATAATTGTTGATTTTTATGACAATTTCCTGTGTCATTTTTGTTTCGGATAGATTGGCGTCTAACCACGTGTTGCTAGCTATGTAGATGCTCGGAAAATAGTAAAAACGTGCTTGTTGCTAGTATTTGTGTTTCTCGTCTGTTTTTCAGTGATCGAATTGGTGTTTCCAGTTTTTTTTCAATTACTTATTTCCATCTCACTGAATATTTAGTAGCTTGCTATGGCACGCTTTTGAATTAAACTATTGTAGGCCTTCTTGCTTGATTCGCTTAAATTAAGACGAAAAACCAAAAATTTCAAAATTGATTTCAATGAGTCAAAAACATGATGCAGGAGTTAAATTTTTGAAAAATGAAGAAACAGCCTCGATTGTAATTTATAACTGAATTTTATGCAGAAGTCAAAGATAAGTGAAGTTAGTCAAAGAATAGTTTCATGCATAGTTCAGTTAGTCAAAGCGCACAAGAAAACAAGCCGGTACTGTTCCGTCTTGAAAAATACAACAACGAAAATTCAAATAGTGTCGTTTTCTCTGCGTGGTGTGATAAAAGGAGCTGATCGAAAAAATGGATAATAGGCATACTCGACAGTCATAGTATAAAAAGCTTATTGAAAAACAATTTTTATTGAAAAATGACCAGAAAATCGAAAAAGAAGTTTATTTCTGAAGTTTTTAATTCTAAAAAGGCGCTACAATACTCAAAAAAACTATCGTTACTCGAGTAAACCTAAGTTACTCAAGCTACTTAAGCTGTTCTAAGCTTTCAAGATTTTAAAATAAGCTATTGTAAGCCTTTTTGCTTGCATTATTCGCTCGAATTCAGACGAGAAACCAAAGATTTCAAGCTGGTTTTTCTCAACACAGGGAATGTTTTTTTTTTTTGAAATTTTCTAATGTCGTTCGAATCATGACTATAAGGGCTTTAACATGTCTCAGTTGATTATTTGTGGTATCTGATTTTGCTTGGAAAAAACCAAAACACACCCGAATATATAGTTCCTCCCCATTTTTCAAATGGTCGGAGCAATCAGTTAATCGGGGAAAGTTGTTTTGAACGCTACAGTCTTTTTGCACAAGCAAATCTGTGTTATAGTATGAAATACAGTCTTTTTGCGCAAGCAAATCTGTGTTGTAGTATAAATTCTCTTTTTTTCCAACCTAAGTCGCAAATATTGTTGCGACAAAATGAGTTCATTTTGATTAATAACCAGCTATTAAGTACAGCCAATGCTAAGGATATTAACACAGACTATTATATCACAAATAGCACTTTAGCTTCTAGGTATAGTGGATCTCTAGCGTAGAGGTAGGGAAGGAGACCCGCAACAAAATAAGAGAGTTCGAACTTGGGCAGGATTCGTATACTAGATAAAATGCGTCCGCTCTATAAATTGAAGCATGTTAATTGTTAAATTTCTTTTTTTTTCTTCCAAATTCACTAGTGCTGCTAATGCGTCTCAATTGGCCTGCGTTACATAGCAGTTATGTGGACTCATAATTGGCGTGCGTCATTTAAAAAGTTTTGTAGACGCAAAGTTTTACTCCTTCAGTTTTTCCCAGTTGCGTTATCGGTCATATCTTTGCGTGTGTATCCGAAGTGCAACTTCGCCTCTTTAAATAATGTGTTTAACGTGTTTCAAACATTTTAAAATAAGACAAAGTTTTAAACATGGCAACTCTGAGGAAAGCTGGTGTTGGAAGCTTCATTTTGCGATTATTTGGCAATATAAAGTCTTTAAACAAATCAAAAGTTTATTCTGCAAAAAATGTGAAGTTTTTCTGATTTATATATTTTTTTGTTTGTCATTCTTTTTATCGAAGTCAACTGTTGTCGATTATGCCTAATTTATAAACTTTCCAGGCCTTTTTCTAGTTATCTTATAACTTGGCGCCCAAAAAACTAGACTTATTTTGAAAAAAAAAACGAGTTTTTTTTCAATTTTAGGGGTTTTACTTTTGATTTGTTTTTAACCTCACTCCAAATTCATTTGGTAAATAGAAGAGAATTTTTTCTCGAGTAGCAAAATAACTGATGGCGCAAAAAAAAGAAATTTCACTTTAGTTTGTAAAGTTGACTTAATTTTTTTTTCCGCGGAATAAAAAATCATCCTGATCCAGTTTTCTTAAATTGCCTTAAATTTTATTGAAACGTGTGACGCATGAAAAACTTTTTATTCTCAAAAGGCTTGAAATTGTTGTTTCTTTTCTTGGCAATGGTTGAGAAAACAGCTTTTTCTTCAGTTTCTTGACCGGCTAGCTGTTGGCTTTGTTTTTGAATGGTGATGTGTTTTAGGTGGAGGTAAAAGTGCAATGTTACTATAGACGGAGGGACATACCGAATGCTTTGATCCATTTGGCTGACCCCTCATTCAATGACAAACATCCCAACAAAACTGTCTTGGACAACTTGACTACTGATGACAAACATTCTCTGTTTCACAGGGAGTTGTTCCTTTCGAGGCACACTGAAAAGGTTCCGGCGCAATATATACGTGGAAAATGTACCGTAAATCTAATTAGCGAAGTGGAGTCGCCACATATCTATATTAACAAAGAGGATGCATTTTTCTATTCGCTCGTATACGACCCAGTCAATAAAACGCTGTTAAAAGACCAAGGTGAAATGAGAGTAGGAAACAGGTTCCAGGCCCAGGTGCAACCCTGGATCGAGCAACCGATGAAACTAGACGACGATGGAGAGTATGTCAAATTGATGTGGGATCCCAAAAATAGAGTTTCTGAAGAAGACTGTGCCAAATATCTGATTGTTGTCAGATCGATTGGAACATTTTCTCGTGCGTTGCACCACACGACTCAAGTTCGGGAAACTAGTCTGGTCAATTCGGCAGCCGCTGCTTCTCGCGATGTAGCAATTGCATATGCGCACGATTTACTGAACATGTGTGATTATGACATCGGGAAGTCGTGTTTAGAATTAGTGCCTGAAAATGGTCCGTTGCTGATACAAGACCAATCCGAAGAATGGTCTGCTAGCGAAGCGGCTCTCTTCGAAGAAGCTTTGGACAAACATGGGAAAGAGTTTGGGGAGATCAGAAAAGAGTTTCTACCCTGGAAAACTATGCCATCTATTATAGAGTATTATTACATGTGGAAAACAACTGATAGATATATGAGGCAAAAAAGAATCAAAGCTACAGAAGCGGAGTCAAAGTTGAAGCAAGTGTACATTCCATCATCAGGAACGTACAACAACCCGAATAAGATCCCTCTTGATGGACCGAACGGACCGTTTGTTAACTTCCAATGCGAGGGCTGCTCCTGCAAAGAATCAAATGCGTGGTTTCTTTGGGGACCCAATAATATGTGCAAGTTGTGCGAATCTTGTTGGGTGTACTGGAAGAAATTTGGAGGACTCAAAAAACCGACTGCATACGAAAAGAGTGCAAATGAACAAAATGTGCGAGAGTTTAAGTACGAGTGCAAACAGTGCAAGAGGCAGTTTTCGAGACAAGAGCGTCTTGTAAACCACATGTCGGAGCACGGCGAGTATCGATGTGTAGTTGAAGGTTGCGACCGAGAGTTCAAGGTCAAGAACCAGTTGTATAGACACTTGACCTCGACGCATAACCTCTGTATAACATCTAGAACCTCATATGCCCAGATAATTAAGGTCAGGGAACCTTTCTTGATGGTAGCGACCAAGGCTACAAAAAGAGTGCAGCAGAAAATGACCCAACGGTTCCAGAAGATCGCGAGGAACCCCTGCGTTGAAATTGACATCAGCGATATTTCTAGTAACTGTGAATCGAGCTCAGAATCAGAAGCACATGCGGATGAATCAAAAACGAAAACAAAAAAGGTTTCAATCGAAGACTTGGTTCTTAAAATAGGAGAAGTATACCGAGAAGCTCCGAGTGGCAGAAAACGAGGAATTACTGACAAAAACAATGCCGCAACTGCGCCGTATAAGAAAATTCATCTTGATGTGAATGCGCCATTAGTTTCTGTTAGCAGCAAGCCATTCAAATGGTGCGATGTTGTTGATGGATATCTCTACATGGCAAGCCCAGAAACAAAAGAAAAGCGTGTAAAAAAGAAATCTTCTGATTACAAACGAGCTAGCAGATGTCCTGCTCTTGATGTATCTGCAGAAAATAAAGCAAATTAAGTGCAGTAAATTGTGTCTGGAATCTAAGACGACAGCCCTTAAGACGAAAACAGGATTTTAAGATGACAATTAAATTAATACAAACACACAAAAAAAAATCATTTTGATCGGTTAAATTTTAGGAGAGAAGGGTTCAAAAATAGATGTTGCCAAACATACGTTTTGTCATCTTGACGTTTTTACTCATGCTTTGTCGTCTTTTTACTTGGCACCGGTGAAGCTTAGTGTGTGCCGTTACCTGAAACTAATTTTTTTGGCTCTTTTTTATACCCCCTCCCGTGCCACCTCACGCGAGCATCAATTTTATGGTATAACGAGTCGTTTTACAAGGTTAATTATGAAGACCAAATATGTTTCTCGTGGCCTAATTAGCATAGCAATTCAATGCGCATGCCAATTTGCGTAACAATCAGGAAATGTGCACAAAAGTTTTACTTGTAGAACTTTGCAGGTGGGGAGGGGGAAGAGAAAAAGAGTAATTTTTTGATCTAATAATTCTGTCCTTGAAAACCAATCTCGTTTTGTGATTTAAAATTGTGTATGATCAAAATGTGAAGAAATGATAAATATTTGACTATTTCGGTTATTTTTCTATTCGATCAGTCTGTCTGTCTACTTTATCTAAGTAATACAAATACCTGTGTTTTGAATAATTTTTGATCGTTGTTTAGATTCGCATATTTATCTGTTTAATTTTACTTTGTATGTCAAATCAATTAAATTTTATATTAAGTCTGTGCGTTTTTTGATACAGCTGAGAAAATCCAATTTTCCAGTTTTTCTTTCATTGTTGTTAATGATTGAAATTGGCAGTCTTTTTTGAAATAAAATAAAATATCAATTGAATATCCTCTCTTCATTTTGTATAATTTGGTATCAAGTTTAAATTTTTATCCAGTCAAAATCTAGTGTTCTGGACACAACTGTAATGGGGGGGGGCTGCTTGTCGCTCAGAAAAGTAACCAGCTCTGATGATCCTGATCGCTTTTAAACCAGGTGTGTTCGAAGCTAGCATTCCAAATTGAATCTCAACTGACGATGTTATATTCATTCTGTTTTCAGTTTGTTTTATGCCTCTCATTCAGGGTACGCAGAAGTCTATTCATTTGGAGTATTATACGCTCCATTCTCCTAATCATCTTGGAAGCGGTAAATTGTTTTTGTTTAGCGATTAGGAAGCATTAAATATCTGAATGGATTATTTTTTCCGCTTAACATCTTGTCTAATACAATCAAAACATTTCGTTAACATCTCGAGCACTGAAGATGGTAGTCATCTCCAATTTTAACATCCAAATGTGTTTCCCAATGCAGTGATACTGCGTCTTAAGTTAATTTTGCAGAAATAGTTTTCAGAAATAAACTAATTTTTTTGTCAGTTTTGTGGATTTTTGTCCCAAGTTTAGCTGGCTTATTTCGGGGGTGTTATAATTTAAAACCTTTTCTACCTTTGCAATCAGCTTTGTTTATTATTACGAACCTTCTATTCTTCTAACCTATTTAGCAAATAAAAGTGTTCATTAAGTGTGTTAACTTATTTGGAAATTTCGCCGCAGCATTGGAAATTGCGCAGCATCTCTGTCTTAGTTGTGGCTTGTGTTTGGTGCCTATTAAGCGTCCACGTTAAGTGGTTAGTGTGTGAGAATCTTAATCTCTAGTTCGCAGTTTCGATTCTCGGACATAACCGGTTTTTACTAATTCGAAGCTTATTTCTTAATTTTCTTATTGAACTTTATAGAGTGGCTTTTTGTGTTCTCGCAAGTTTATGCGAAGCGAAGCTTCGCCTCTGTATTGATAGTTGTTTTTACAACAGCGAACTTTAGTGAGCGTTAGTGTTATACTACGACTATTCTTTTTTTTCTAACCTAAGTCGTCAATATTGGTGCCACTTTTGCAACGGCTTATTGGTAGTATGTGCTTTGACAATCGAATAGTAATAAGTTAACACAGCATAAGCATTTTAAATTCACCAATTGAACAGATAAAAAGCTATTTGTTTCAAACAACATAACAGTAATTACACATGCAAAGCTTGTGTGATAGTATGAACTCTTTTTTTTCTCCAACCTTAGTCGCAAGTATTAGTGTTCACTTTGAAAGTGTTCATTTTGATCAATAACCAGCTATTAAGTACAGCCAATGCTAAGGTTAAGGAGGATACTAACACAGACTATTATATTACAAATAGCACTTTAGCTTCAAGGGTATAATGGGTCTGTAGCGTAGAGGTAGGGAAGGAAACCCGCAGCAAAATAAAAGGAATCGAACCTGGGTTGAGTCGGATGTTTTGAATGAATTTTTTCCGTTTTTTAATTAAAATGTGTTTGCTCTATAAATTGAGGCATGTTAGTCGTTAAATTTCTTTTTTTTTCAATTTGACTGGTACTGCTAATGCGTCATCATTGGCTTGAGTCACTAAGCAATTATGTAGACTCATAATCAGGGGTTCCGAAAAATTAATTGGAACAAGACCAATCAATTATTTGGTGTAGCAATCAATTAATTGTAATTGGGCACCTAGATCAATCAATGATTGCAATTATTGGCAATTATTTTAGAAGAAAGAAATGAATGGTAAAATAAGAATTGAGTCCTAGTTACGAACACAAACTATAATTTTTTTTCAGTTTTATCATTGTGAATCACTGAAACTGTCTCTCAAACAGAACAAAAACTCATGCGGTAAGAAAATTTGATATAGGAACTTGGTTGGATGTGCTTTGTTGATTCGACACTGAGTGCTGACTTTTAATGTGATTCATCAGATTCCATCCTGTCGCACGCTTTTGCGTCCGTTTTTTTTCCAAATTTGCATTTCCATAGGTTGGGATTCTCTTCCGGTTCGGGTTTGTGAAAATACCGCAATGCAATCCTTTTATTTGAAGTTTCCATGATGCGAAATGGATGATGGCGATTATGTATAACTCAGCTGAGCAAGCTTACATTCGCTATCTTGTGAGTTGCTGATTGCGACATAATAGCAGATAATGCAGAGAATTGCGTCATTTTAGCAGAAAATGCAGAGAATTGCGTGTCATATTAGTTGCTGCTATGCTGCAGCGATTATGTTGAAAAGCGGGATTAATTCCGCTCCATTTCAGAAATTATAAAAATTGCCAATTAATTGTTATTAAATTATTATTCAGCAATCAATTAAATAATTGCTAAAAGCCTGTCAATCAAATAATTGGAACAATGAATTGAACTCCAATTAGTTTTTCGGAACCCCTGCTCATAATTGGTGTGTGTCACTTAAGAATTTTTGTAGACTCAAAGTGTTACTCATTCTGCTTTTCCCAGTAGCGTTATTGGTCATATTTTTGCTTGTGTATGAGTAGGGCCAGTTCGCCTCTTTAAAAACTCGATTTTAGAATTTTCCTAACCCAAAATATCTAGCAATTTTTGGAAATGCATAATTTACACATAATGTGGCTTTGTGCTTTGCGATTAATTACATACAAAGTCAGTGTGGATGCATTCAGTTTGTTACATGCTATGTTTTTACCTGCAAAATTGTGTCTCTTTTTATTTGGTGCAACTTTTGCTGCCTGGTTTTGGCAACTTGTTTGCATATGTAGCTGCTTGATTTTAGACTAGCGTTCGTGGCCGTGAGAGCAGGTTGTGAGAGCCCAATTCTTGAGTTCGCAGCTTTGAAGCCCATACATAGCAAAGTTATACTAATTCGCGTCTAATTTCTAGCTTTTCTTATTTCATTTTATAAAGCTGCTTTTTTGTCATGTTCTCACTGGTGTTTGCGAAGCATAGAATAATTTGAAATTGTTGTCAGTTTTTTCGGCTATATTGTTTTCTGATTTTTTTTTCGTCTTAGTGTTTTTTTTTTGTTTTTCGGAAACTCAGTGTCCAGTATTGGTGTGAACATTTTTATTGTAAGTTGATTCAAGGTGATGACACAGTGATTTTTGTTGATTGTCTTAAAGTGTTCGAAAAAAATTACTTATATATATGATTTTGGCCTGATTTTTCTCAGCTCGAGTTTGGTTCTCGAGCTGGAGGCTTGGTTCAATCTTTGCCGTGTTTTTTTTTCGACGTTTGGCAAGTTTAGCTCTGCATTTGGCGAACCAACCCGACATTTGGCGAGTTCGGTTCAATAGCTGAGTTTTTTCTGGTTCGAGTTTTAAAATTTTCTTCTTGACCAGGCGGTTTTTGTTGTGCGTTGCTAAAGGGAGTTTTTGTCTGTATGTTGTAATCTATGTTTAATATCCTTGTCTGTAATATTCATCAGTGTTTACTCTTGCGAGCATTGTGTTATTTTACATATACCGGGTCCACTTTTTTCAATCCAAATCGCATAAATTAGTGCTATTTTTGCTGCCTCTTTTGCTGGAGTTTTGACAGTTTGATATCATAGCCGAGGCCTGTAGTATTACCTGCTTTTTACCGTAAATGGCATTTATTCAATATATCTCATAACTTTTTCTTGCTTTTTTCAAAAGTTTTCACCGTTTAAAGCTATTTCTTGGGGTTTTGTCGCTGATGTAAAAATTTAGGTTTAATAGGCTTTCTGCAACCTTTTTGTGGCAATTATTTAAAACTTTTTGATAAGTTTTTTGAATTTTATTTCTATGTTTGTTTTTCATTTCATGTTTTTTGTTTGCTTTTCTTTTGAACTTATGAATAATTTTTGTATTGTATCTCTCCATTTTTCTTCTGTGTTTGATTTTTTTTCCGCCTTGTAATCATGTCGCTTAAATTATCTTATGCAACGACATTTGAAGGGTGAAGTTATTGTTAATAAAATTGAGGTCTTAATGGCTTTTTTCGACTCTGGGTGATGTACAAGTTTTTTTTTCCTGTCATTGGTTATAATAGCAATATTAATATAACACTGTCGTATGTATTTATCGCAGCATCCTGAATATTGCGTGCACACAACGCCAGTGTTATTGAAATTGAAAAAAGGTCGATCTTTTGGCTTGATGCATTTTGTTGGCTCGCTTATCGGCGCATAGTTGAATACCTGTTATAAACGCTTGTATTTTTGCTTGCTCTTAAAAAGTGCCGCTGTTTAAGTTTCCTAAACATCAATTTAGACAACGCCTATTAATGCGTGGAGTTATCGGCGGCAGTTTTGAATGAGAATATTTTCGGCTGAATTCTTTGTTCACAAAAACCATTGAGGTAATCAATTTGTTTGTTTTCTTAGGTATGTTTGGAAAAGTGTTTGAAGCATACCACAATGTAACAAATGCTAGAGCTGCAGTGAAGATGTTCACGTACGACACTGACGAAGGAACACCGCCAACCGCTCTTCGAGAAGTTGCAATTCTGAAATGGCTCAGTCATCCCAACATAGTAACGTGAGACTGCTTAAGATTTTTCAGAAAAATTCAAAAAGTATTTCTTCCCAAGTAAACTTCATTATAAGTCTTTGAGTTAAGTAATGGTTGACCCATAATCATTTAATTTAATCATAATTTTGAAATTATGGGAAATTTAAGGGAAAAAATGAATTTTTTGTTTGTTTATTTTGCCTTAACGGGCCTATTTGTCTTTTTTTTATTATCTTTTTTGGTGTGATCCTGCTCCTTTACGCTGCGCATCAAGCTCATATGTGATAAGTTTGATGTAATAAATTGTTTTTGTATGGTTTGACAGTTTTTGGTTAGATTTTTTGCAAATTCTTTTGTGCAAATTGTCAGAAACTTATGCGTTCATTTATTTTTTCAATTTTTTCTTTCATTTTGATCTTAGTTTTTAGCAAATGTTCCTGA